TTGATGCAGGAGGGTGGAGTTATTGCTTATGCTTCTCGTCAGTTGAATCCCCATGAGAAGAACTACCCCATTCAAGATTTGGAGTTGGCTACCATAGTTTACGCGTTGAAGATTTGGAGGCATTACTTGTATGGTGTGTCTTGCGAGGTGTTTACTGATCATCGTAGCCTCCAACATTTGTTCAAATAGAAGGATCTCAATTTGAGGCAGCGGAGGTGGTTGGAGTTTCTTAAGGATTATGATATCACAATATTGTACCATCCGGGGAAGGCCAATGTGGTGGTCGATGCTTTGAGCCGAAAGGCGGTGAGTATGGGGAGTTTGACATATATTCCAGTTGGGAAGAGATTGATGTTCAGGCCTTGGCCAATCAGTTTATGAGGTTAGATGGTTCGGAGCCCAGTCGGGTATTGGCTTGCATGGTTTCTCGGTCTTCCTTATATGTTCGCATCAAAAAGCGCCAGTATGATGATCCGTATTTTCTTGTCCTTAAGGACAGAGTTAAGCATGATGATGCTAGAGATGCGGTTACAGGTGATGATGGGGTGTTGAGGATACAGGGCCGGATATGTGTGCCCAATGTGGATGGGCTTCGGGAGTTGATTCTGGAGGAGGCACATAGCTCGCGGTATTCCATTCATTCGGGTGTCGCAAAGATGTATCAGGATTTGAGGCAGCATTATTGGTGGAGAAGAATGAAGAAAGATATTATGGGATTTGTAGCTCGGTGTCTCAATTGTCAGCAGGTGAAATATGAGCATCAGAGATCGGGTGGCTTTCTTCAATAGATGGATATTCCAGAGTGGAAGTGGGAGATGATCATTATGGACTTTGTAGTTGGACTTCCACGAACTTTGAGGAAATTCGATGCTATTTGGGTGATTGTGGATCGGCTGACCAAGTCCGTGCACTTCATTCCTGTGTGTACTACCTATTCTTTAGAGCGGTTGGCAGAGATCTATATCCAGGAGAATGTTCGTTTGCATGGTGTCCCAGTTTCCATCATTTCGGATAGGGGCACTCAGTTTACCTTGCATTTTTGGAGGTCTGTGCAGCGAGGGTTGGGTACTCAGGTCGAGTTGAGCACAGCTTTTCACCCTCAAACGGACGGGTAGTCTGAGCGCACTATTCATATATTGGAGGGCATGTTGCGTGCTTGTGTCATTGATTTCGGAGGGTCATGGGATCAGTTTCTACCGCTTGCAGAGTTTGCTTATAACAATAACTACCAGTCGAGAATTCAGATGGCTCCGTATGAGGCTTTGTGTGGGAGGCGGTGTAGATCTCCAGTTGGTTGGTTCGAGCCCGGTAAGGCTAGGCTATTGGGGACAGACCTGGTGCAGGATGCTTTAGAAAAGGTGAAGGTAATTCAGGAGTGGCTTTGTACGACACAGTAGAGGAATAAGAGTTATGCTGGCAGGAAGGTTCGAGATATGTCTTACATGGTTGGCGAAAAGGTTCTGTTGAAGGTTTCACCCAGGAAGGATGTTTTGAGATTTGGATCGTTAGGTTCGAAAGTTGATGTCAAAGGATATAGCTTCAGTGAAAGTGCAGTAGAGAGGTCGGCTCATGGAGGAGGCTACCTGGGATACCGAGCAAGAGATGCAGAGCAAATATCCTCACATGTTTGAGGCTTCATGTATGTTTCTTGACTCATTCGAGGACGAACATTTTTTTAAGTAGGGGAGGATGTGACGACCCGGCCAATCGTCTCATGAGTTACCGCTCTGTTTCCCCATATCTGCTTCTTATTGCTTTATTTATCAGTTCTATATGTGATCGGGTCGGTTGGCTCGGGTTCGAAAAGGAATTGGTAATGTTTAAGACACTTAGTCTCTTTTGTGGAAGCTTAAGTTGAAAAAGTCAATCGGATGTTGACTTATGAGTTAGATGGATCGGATGTGAGTTACGATGGTTCGATTAGCTTCGAGAGGTGATTTGGGACTTAGGAGCATGATCGGAATGAGTTTTGGAGGTCCAGAGTAGATTTAGGCTTGAATTGGCGAAATAGGATTTTTAGCGAATTCCGATTGATAGGTGAGATTTTGATATATCGGTCAGAATGGAATTCCGAGAGTTGCAGTAGTTTCAATGTGTCATTTGGGATATGTGTGTAAAAGTTTAGGTCATTCGGACGTGTTTTGGTTTGGTTTTTGATCAAAAGCGTAATTTAGAAGATTTTGGAAAGTTTGGTTTGAATCCGATTAGTTTTGGTTGATTCGATGTTGTTTGAGTTATTTTGAGGATTTGTGTAAGTTCGAATAAGGTTATGGGTCATGTTTGTACTTTTGGTTGAGGTCCCGGGGCCTCGGGGTGGTTTAGGATGGTTGTCGGAGAGTTTGGGAAATTTGAGAAGCTGTAGATTTTTCTGTTCTGGTATTTCCGCACCTGCGGATTGGGGACCGCAGGTGCAATGCCACAGATGTGAGGAAATTACCGCAGAAGCGGTCAAGGAGGAGAAGGGCAGGAGCGCAGATGCGGTTGGCTGACTGCACCTGCGATGGAGTATGTGTGGCTACTTGGTTGCAGATGCGGTTTTGGGACCATTAAGTGAAAGCCGCAGAAGTGGCTTATAGACTGCAAATGCGGTACCGCATAAGCGGTATCTAGGTTGCAGGTGTGGAATCCTTAGGCCAAAATGTATATATTGTTTTCTTCGCGAAATTTTCCTAAGTACTCCATTTTTAAAGACGGGAAAGAGGCTAAGGCAGTGGATTTCAAGAGAAATCAAGGGATATTAGTTGGGTAAGTTCCCTAAGCTTCATTATTTGGGATTATGATCATTTTTCCATTATTTAATCATGGTATTAGTGGAGATTAAGGAAGAAAAATTGGGGATTAGGGCTTGAGATTAAGAGACTTTAAAATGAAAATTTGAGGGGTCATTTGGACTCCGATTTCAGTGTTCATGGTATGTATGAACTCATGGAAGGATAAGGATTCCGTTGATGTGATTTTTATTGAGTTTCAAGACGTGGGCCCGGGGGTCGAGTTTGGCCAATTTTGAGATTTTTGGTTTAATTTGATTATTTTCGCTTGGGCTTCGTCCCCTTAGCATAGTTTGACGCCGTGATTATGATTTTTGGATAGATTCAACATGAGTGGAGGCCGATTCGAGAGGCAAAGGCGTCGCGGAGTAGTATTTTACCCGTTTGAGGTAAGTAACCATTATAAATCTAGAACTGAGGGTACAAAATCCCGGTATTTGACTTGTTTTGATAAATGCGGTGACGCACATGCTAGGTGACGAGCATGTGGGCGTGCACCGGTAGGGATTTGTGAATTGGTTCGTCCCGTAGCGACTATTAAGCCGCGTATTTGATTTGGAACCTTATGATATTCTGTACTTTAGTCATTTATACTATATTATGGGATGTATGCCATGTTTGGGGCCTTGTGCCGATCTATTGAGACCCTTGGGGGTATTTCTACTGTTTTTCCCCACTCTACTTGTTTAAAGCATATCCTCAGTCATGTTTTACCTGTTTAATGTTTAAAACTTGTTTTATCACTCTACTTTTAAATGTGAGGACCGTTTGGACTGACTTCCCTAATTTTTACTGTTGTACCCGAGAGGCTGTGAGGTTAATGATTAAGAGAGGTTGAGAACCTAATGGTGAGGATATTTATAAATGTATGAGTTATGGATCGGGCTGCACGCCACAGCGATACTTATACAGATCAAGTTGCACGATGCAGTGATATATATTGGATCGGGCTGCGCGCCGCAACGATATGACGCTTGGGCTGTAGGAGCCTTTCCGGAGTCTGTACACCCCTAGTAAGTGTAGTCGACTATAAATTATGGATCAGTCTGCACGCCGCAGCGGTTACTATGATTATTATTATTATGAGATATTAATGAGCTTGAGTGCTGAAAGTAAGTACGGAGTGACGAGAGTTGAGTCACGAGTGAGTGAGAGGCTGCCCGGGAGGCCATATTTTGAGTGATACCTTGCCCGAGGGGCCCAGTTATGATATTTTCACTGATTTCACTCTTCCTTTAAATAAGCCTCTGTTTGAAAAATTGCTAAGTATATGATTTCAAGTATTTAAACTAAAATTGATGATTTTACAACGAAGCTTATTTTAAACTGTGGAGTTTGATTTGTTATCTTGTTGTTTATGCATTTGTATGATTTTTAACTACTCATCACTGCTTTCAAACCTTATTTACTTTAGTTACTTACCGAGTTGGCGTACTCACGTTACTCCCTGCACCGTGTGTGCAGATCCAGGTGCCCGAGCGGCAGGGCAAGGGTCCTCAACATTATTAGAGTTTGTCGGAGACTACAAGGTAGTTGCATGGTGTCTGCAGCCCTGCTTTCTTTCTCTATCCTTGTTTTTCCGCATTTTAGACTTGTTTTGTATCAGACAGTCAGATTTGTATATGCTAGAGGCTCTAGACTTGTGACACCAGATGGTTGGGCTCTGTTGGTTTAACATTGTATTGATTTCCGCACCGTTTGGCTGTTTTATGCACTTCTTATGAAAAATTAAGGTTTTAAACTTGTGTTAAAAAAATGGTTTTATAAAAGGAATTTGTTGTAGTTAATGGTTTGGGTTGGCTTGCCTAGTAATGTGAGGCGCCATCACGATCGGGCATTTGGGGTCGTGACAGACGAGTGTGTAAACAGGCGTATGCATTCCTTATGACCAGATTTGACCCCATGTTGCTTTTATTGCCTTATTTTTATTATCCGTGAATTCTTTAATATGGTTACTTTTCGGAGAATTCCTAGTTGCCTAAACTTGAGGAACCCCTAATTTGAGGCTTTACAAATATAATAGTTAAATCATTAATTATTCATTGATTATTCATTTTCTAAGTGAATAATATAATTCTTATTCATATTTGATCCATTTTTAAAAGATTAATTATACAACCCATTTTTTAAGGAACAATATGAGTGGATAACGGTATTCTTTAAATAATTTCATCACCACTGATCATAATAGCCAACTAGTCAAGCCAACTCAATCAGTATAACCACAAATAATTTCTTGAAATTATTTAGATTATTTCACTTGACATAAAAAATTACAATATGGATCCCAAGGAAAAGACCGTACAATATGATAATACAAACATAGTTTGATACTATTTTCTCATAATAACTACAATTCTAGTGAATTTGTAGTATTTTTATTCTTTTAAACACAAGACAACACACCATTATTTATTTATTTATTTATTATACATAAAAAGGAGCATTCTGAGAGCATTTGATGCTTATTTGCACTTGTGGTAGCAGTAGCAATAACGTCTGAAGATGCTCTTCTTAATGCACATACCCCTCTTTGCCCCCTCTTTCTCTTTGCATTCTTCGTCGCAGTGTTCACTAATAAAGCAATAGCCAGAAAATGTCTTGCTCTTCCTTCGGCAAAGTTTGCCCTCTGCCGCTTGCATCTCTGCATGGAACAACAACTTATCATAAGTATTTTTGGTTAAAATCATTTATTTGAATTAAAATATATGAATTTCTTCTAAAAATGTTGAAATATATGTTTTTTTGTTGTTATAAGTTATAACAATAATGATAATCATTTCATATTAGCGAGTTCGTACATGATTGTTCAAAGGCATACCTAGGTGCTAGCTGCCTGTACTAAGAAAGGATTATAGCAAGTTAACTACTAGCGTAAAATTAATCAATTTATAATGAATTTTTGCAATTTTATGTAATATTGGATTGTAGTTTTGGGTCCAAATCTTTATAGAGACACCAACTACAACTAGCTTGGAATTCGGGTATATATACTATTATTTTGTTCTGAAAACACTAATCCCTTGGAATTAAAATATGCGCATACAATATTGAAAAATGAAAATGACAATGAAAGAGGTACCAACCATTGGATGAAATGAGGAGGAAGCATAAGAGGAGAGCAAGGAAGGTTGTGTAGCTCACGAGCGACTTTGCCATATTCCTATACTTTGGATATAATACGATCTTTCTATTTTCTTTAAAGTGATTTATGTGTGGAAACTACTAAGGTAAGATAGGTACTTATAGCAAAGGCCAGGCAATTTTTTTAATGGTTTAGTCAAAAATTCCAATGAAGTATTAATGATTTAGTCAAAATATTCAATGAAACTGTTTTACGCAAGTAGTTGGCTATTGAAAGAAGAAATGAGTAGTTTAACATTCCTCATCGCACAAAACTGAGTTTGCACTCTCAAACCAACAACAACAACAACAAATCCAGCTTAATCACATATCTGGAGGAGGATAATGTGTATGCAGTCTTACCTATAAAGGTAGAGAGACTGTTTTCGATAGACCCTAGGCTTAAGAAACGATAAAAATAAAGCAACAAACAATAACAACAGTAATATAATAAAATAATGAAAATGATTGGTATAACAAGTAATAAATTGAACTAGGAATTCTCTTGCTGGTTCCTTCTTCTGTTTAACACCTCGCCTTGTTAGTTAAATCAACTTTCAACTCATAGTTTTAAACTTTAGGCATGTTCAAATTAATATATAAATTTAATTAGTTCATTATACAAGGTATGTTACATCTATAATCGCCCCATACGGTGTTAATACTATAATAGTAACTATGTTCCAATCAAATAATTAGTTATAAACATTTTGTTAGAGTCTGAAAAAACCAATAAATACACGTGGAATCGTAATCAACTATCTATAACATTCCCTCATTGACCAAGTCCCTCCCCTCATAAGGTGAATTAGGAAACAGAAAGTCATTCTTTTGGAATATAAAGGTTCATATCAAGAAAGTTTACTTATTAAGACAATAACTTGAATATAAGCACTGTAGATAATTTTTTTGGAAGAAATATCGAACGGAAACCTGGAGCAATAATAAAGTTATTTTCCTAGAACGTAGGTCACAAGTTCGAATTGTAAAATTAGTCGGTAACTCTTGTATTCGGGTATGCTGTCTATATTATATACCTCTTTATAGGAAACATTATAAATATTGTGAAACAACATTATAATAGTGCGATTAGTCAAATTTTTCAAATGGAGCATGTGAAGGACTAGCTGATATTTGGGAGAAAAACGTATTTAAATTGTTTGATCCTACGACTAATTAGAAGAAGTCAAAAAATTCAATGTACCCAAACGATAAATATAAACAATTAAAGATAGTCCTTATCCAAAGAAGCCTTGATCTCCAAATTGGGGATAAGAATGATATAGTTTTTTTTTTCTTTTTCTAATTTGAAGGTTCAAATAGTAAAACACAGAGTATAATACCTATGAACACGTTCATCCAATCAGATTGGAGTAAAAAAAAGGTAATGATACGAAGAATTATTTATTTATTTAGGTCGAACACGTTCATCCAATAAGATTGCAGTTTTTTGTTTTTCTTTTCTATTTATTAGTTTTGCCACTTTGTATGTCCATCCTTAAAGAGCTTTTCGATTTCCTTTCCTCGTTAGAAGAGGAAAATAGACTCATTTAAATTGAAACATTCCCTTATTTACCAAGTCTCCCTCTCAAAAAGAGATTAGGGAAAGAGAAAGGGAATATAAAAGTCTCTATCAAGAAAGAATATTTATTAATAAAATGGTGATATTTTGAATAATATGCAAATCAACATTTTATTTTGCGGAAAGTTTGAATGAAGTCAAATGACTCAGGTTCATTACTTAATCAAGCAATTAAGAAATATAATCAAGTTTGATTTTTAATGCAAAATCATTACTCCCTCCGGTCCAAAATAAGTGATTTTTTGGTCTTTTTTTGTGGTCTAAAATAAGTGATTTTTTCAGATTTCAAGAATAAATTAATTATTTTTTTCCTACTTTGTCCTTGAAGTAAATAATGTTGGAATATGTGTTAAGAGTGTTTATGTGAGATAATAAAGGTTAATATAGTTTATTCCATTGTTAATTAATGCTAAAAGGTGGATTTCTTAATCTGAAAACATCCAAAAAAATCACTTATTTTGGACCGGAGGGAGTATAGTATAATCGTCGTTATCAACAACAAATCTTGAAGTCAACTTTCTCCGCATTAATAAAAACACTTAGTTTTCCTTAGGAATCAGTGACGATATTTAATTAACTTCTAATTTAGTATTCCCTCAGTCCATTTTACTTGCCCAGTTTATCAAAAATATTTGGTTCAAAATATGTCATTGTAAAAAATCAAGATAATTTTAATTATTTTTTTTCACCATTACCCTTATTTTAATAAATGTGGAGAGAGATTAATATAGTTAAATTAGGGGTAATATTAAATTGAGATCAAAAGATAAATAGGGACAATTTAGTCAACTTATCCTTGTGTGTAAGATTTTTGTAAGGGCATCTAAAAAGAAAACATGACAATTAATATGGACTGAAGAGGGTAATGAGAAAATAATATCCCATATTTTTAACAAAAAATTAAGGTTGTCGCCGGTATAGTTGTCAAACAGAAGCTAACTGGTTACATTTGAGAAATATATTAACTGCATGTTAAAATATTTCCAGAGCCCTTGGACCCTTTTTCGATAACTTTATTGTGCAGGCTAGTACGCGTGCACCTGAAAACTATGCTAAAATCATCCAAATGCTGGACGAGAGACCAGCTCCTAAGCATGAATTCTTCCGCCATTTTCCAACATATTCATCAAACTGAAGTAAAAAAGAATCATAACGCATATAGAAAATTTAGAGTAACTGTAATGAAAGAAGCTTTTATTAAATAGCCCATTTTTCTTAAGAGGGCAAAACAGACAAAGATTATGAAAGAAAAAGACTAAATTATTCGAGTGATTCCACAAATTGTGCTAGAAATTTGTACGTCGTATAGAATTTCAAACTTTTTTCGAACTCTAATAAGAGGGAAATTGCTCAATTTTCCGAACCCCTTGCTTCCTCGCTATTTTCAAAAAATCAAAGCACTAATATTTGTCATCCATTACATTCTTCTCCTCTCTTTTTTTTTCCTTTTCTAAGGGCTATTTTTCATGGGAGAAATTGAAAGTTAGAATCGACTAGGAGGTTGAGAAGAAACTCAAAAATATATATATGGCTATGGGTCTAATGTTATTTTATAGGCTAATTTCAGGTAGGAAATGCTTAAGGTGATGTCGTGCCATTACATTCATGATATTACATGGTGAGGACGAGAATAAAAGCACGAAGGGTGATACCGTGCCATTACATTCATATTATCGCATCTTGAGGACAAGAGTAAAAGCACGAAGGGTGATGTCGTGCCATTAGATTCATGATATTGCATGGTGAGGAGGAGAGTAAAAGCACGACGGGTGATGCCGTGCTATTATCATATCATTGATTTAATTGATTTTCGATTTTGGTAATTTACTTGGTTATATTGTTGCTTAACTCGGAAGATGTAATTTCATGACTTCATACTTGCCCTATTTATTATATCTTCCCCTTTTCGCATGTTCCCTTACAGTTAGTATTTTATCATTCTTCTTGTTATTTTGCTACTTTATATACACTTGTACATGTTTATTTATATAGGTGTCGTCTCATAGCCTTGTCACTACCTCGTCGAGGTTAGGGTCGACACTTACTTTGTACATTGGGTTAGTTGTATTCATACTATACTTATGCACTTCTTGTGCAGATACTGGAATTGGTCCCAGCGGTGCTTGAGGTGTGTCGGCTCGGATTACTTTCATATGGAGACTCGAGATAGATCTTCTGACATTCGCAGACCTTACAGTCCCCTTCCATTTCCTACTTTTACTGTTTATCTCTTTCAAACAGCTGTATTTTGTCACGACCCGGATTTTCCACCTTCGGGAGTCGTGATGACGCCTACTCATGAAAGCTAGGCAAGCCGAGTATTATAAATCATTAACATTTTTACTTAGCCTTTTTAACAGTTCAATATAATAGGTGAACACCAATGGAATAATTATAATAAATAGAAGTGCAGAAGACGAAAACTAATAGTTTGATCATATACTAGCAGAATCCAACATACAACTCTACCCAGAATTTGATGTCACAATGTTACAGACTATCTACGATACTACAAATAGTGGTCTGAAAGATAAATACAAAGAGGTCTCTGAAATTCATAAAAGAAAAAGAATTGAAAGATAGAAAGAGATGCCAAGGCCTGCGGACGCCTGCAGGACTACCTTGGGTCTCTTGATGGACTGAAGGCAGCAACCTCACTGTGGTCCAAAAGCTGCAGCACCAGGATCTGCACACAGTTCAGAGTGTAGTATCAGCACAACCGACCCCATGTGTTGGTAAATACCTAGCCTAACCTCGGCGAAGTAGTGACGAGGCTAGGACAAGACTACCAAATAAACCTGTACAGTTAAATCATATACGGCAGAAAATAAAGGCAGAATTTTACAGTTAAAGATAGGATGGGGAAACATGTTGCGGGAAATATCAGGTAACCACAGAAAATTCAGTAAAGAAACATACGGAACACCAAAATTAAACCATAAACAGAACAAGGGAATCAATGACAAGTGCACGACATCGCCCTTCATGCTTTTACTCTCGTCCTCACCATAAAAATTAATATAATCGGCACGCCATCACCCTTCATGCTTTTACCTCACATAATCAAGGCACATAATTATTCTTCGTATATTATCACTCATATCATGGCACGACATTGTACATCGTACGTCATGACATCACCCTTTGTGCTTTTACTCTCAATAATATGGCACGACATCACCCTTCGTGCATTAACACTCTCAAAATCACGCACGGCATCACCCTTTGTTCTTTACACACTTCCTTACCCAAGCAACAAGCACAAAGCAATTTGGGCAAGAGAATCAATAATATCACAATAGAATCTCGGCAAGGGAACAATAGCATATCAATAATATTCCGGCAAAGGAACAATATCATGAGCAATAATATCCCCGGCAAGGGAGACAATATCAAAAGCAATAACATCCCGGCCAGGGGAGACAATATCATAAACCTCTTCTCTTTTACACAATTACTTCACAATTCAATTCTCAACTTGAGTCAATGCTCTACAACGTCAA